TTTTTCTTTCTTTTTTTTTTGCCAATACAATAAACAATTTTATTTTAAAAACTCCAAAAATACAATCGAATTCACTTATTTTTTTTAATTGTTGGGTACAATTAGCAGTGTCGCCGGTCCAGTCCGGCACAATCCGGCCCGCACTAGCCCGCGGTTCAAACGGGGCGGGCCAAAATGGCCAACATTTCTACGGGCTGGGAATTCCATGGCCCGTGTTCAGCCATCATTAGCCCGCGGGCCAAAGCGGCTCATCCACGGGTTTTTTTGGTATTATGCACTCATATATACTTTTTAATTTGTTTATCCTTATATTTACTAGTATATTAATAAACTAGTAAGACTTCATGTGTAATGATGTTAAATATTTGTCACCCTGTTTTTATTTTTATTTTTTTATGAATAGTTATAGGGTAATCACGCGGAGGAGAGACTTAATTCACATAAAATATTATTTGATTCATTAATATTTTTATTATGTAAAAAAGTATTTCATGTGCATTCACAAATCTTAATATCATTGTCAAATTTTAAAAAATATAAAATAAATAAATATGAAAGAAGAAGAAGAAAACAAAGAAAATAAAGATAAATAATACTAAATAAATAAAAAAATACTAAATTTAAATAATATAAAATTAACAAATAAAGAAATAATAAAAAAACGGGCTGGACCGCGGGCCAGCCTGCCCCAGCCCGCTTTAGACTGCGGGTCGAACGGGGCTGGCCAAGCAAAGGCCCAATCCCGTCCATTTAGGCGGACGGACGGGCCAGCTCGCGGGCCATGACCCATTTTGACAGTGCTAGGTAAAATGAAGGAGTCTGAAGGCCTGATGGTTAAATATAACTTGACGGGGACAAGAGACTCGATACGATCGTGCTCGAGCCAGGCTCCCATGCCAGAAGGAGGGGAAGCCAAGAACTGAAATCTGATCGGAGAATTGGCCGCGAGTCTAGTTACAGGTCTACTGCAAAGTTGACTTCTCGATGCACCTATCGTATGGTAATGCTCCATTCCCTTTGAGCCAAAAGCACTACAATCGATTGACATTGATAATACAAATCACATTTGCAATTAATACACCAAGCATAAAGTAAAAGATTTTTATGTTAAAGGAGAAATTACATTAACTTTTTTGACTAAAGGAGCTTTACCATTTGGACCTACCTAAGTTTCATAGCTAGTAAAGATAATTTATATAATTACACAATTAAAGTAGATTATCTAATTGATATCATCTAACAACCAAACAAAAATTATATATTAATGCATGGTATTTTAATTACTAAATAATATATAACATTTATATACATATTGTATGTTATGCATTACTTTTTATTCATTGTAATTTATGTATGTACTTGTGAGGTAATAAAATATAAAATTCAGTTTAATACAAGTTGAGTAGTTTATTTATTCCAATAAAAACTCATTACATAATACATTGAACTAACATTCTTTTGATATATTTTTATTTAACATTCATGTAAAATATTAAAAACATTATCAATTCTGTATATATTTTACATATTTAAAATCAATTTATAACTTGTAAAATACATTAACTAATAATTAAAAGATTTTCCAACTCACACCTGGGCAGTACAGGTGGCTTCTATTAATTGGCTGTATAGTGTCACAAATGTCCAACATCACTTCTTCTTCTCTTCAACGCTCCCAAAAACATCATATATAAATTAGATTTATTTTTTTTAATCATTTTAGCATAATTAGATCTGCGAAAAGCTCTTCTCCATTTTTTTGCTGCTGGAGGTTCGTATAATCTCGTCGCTGTTTTCCCCTCGATGAAATTCGAGTAATTTCGCTGTATTTTGATCCTTCGTGTTCGTTAATTTGAGCTGTGTTTTCAATTTTGTTGTTGGATTAATAAATATTATTGTTGAATTTATAGCTGTGTTTAGCTTTTATTTGGATATATATCACTCGGAACTTAGATCTGCTATGCTTGATATGGTTTCTGTACCTGATTGTTACTGTATTGATTTTTTCTGTTTTTGATTTCACAAGTTGCGATGAGAGTCATTGCGATTTTTGGAGGTTTTTATGGTATTGGATTTGTTTCGATCTTGCGGGTATTTAACCACTGCTTTTTGTTTCTGTGAATTGTATTCATTTGTTGAAGTATCGGTGACCTGATTTATTTGAGCTTCTGTTTGCTGATCTGCGTCAAATTAGCTGGTTTTGATGGCGATTACTGAGGTGCATGTGTTGATATAAGGTTTGGGTTTGATTTCACATGATGTAAGTTGTGTCTCTTGGAATATAATATGATGAAATTTTTTAATTGATTGCCTGGACTTGTCGCGTTTTTCCATTTATGTTGTAATGTTTTTTTAGATTGAGATTGGTAGTTTCCCTAGTACGTTGCTGGAAATGACGAATTATTAAGTGATTGGTTGGATTTATTGCATTGTTTTCATTTCTAAAGTTACTTGGAAACGATAGTCTTCATTGAATCATTGTTCATCATCCTGCGAGTTTGTTTTTATTGTATGACGTGCAGTTTGAAATAGTTTAATCGAAGAAAAAATGGGAGGTGGGTTTAGAGTGCTTCATCTGGTTAGGCCCTTTCTTTCGTTCCTGCCCGAGGTTCAGAGTGCGGACAGGAAAGTTCCATTCCGAGAGAAGGTCATATACACTGTGATATCCCTATTCATTTTCCTGGTCTGTAGTCAGCTGCCATTGTATGGAATACACTCCACTACTGGGGCGGATCCATTCTACTGGATGCGAGTTATTCTGGCTTCAAACAGGGGGACTGTGATGGAGCTTGGGATCACTCCAATCGTGACGTCTGGACTGGTTATGCAACTGTTGGCCGGTTCAAAGATCATTGAGGTTGATAACAATGTGCGAGAGGATCGTGCACTCCTGTAAGTGGATCGGGCTTATTCGGCTCATCATATATTTGATTAGTTTTGTGAATTTAGTGGGTTTTGAGTAAAGGGTTGGTGTCTGGCTGGTGTTTTCTGCTGAGTTATTGAAGACTTCTGTTTGTTGCATGTGAAGTGCTATAGTTGACTTGTACCTTGGTGGTTAAACTTGATCTTGAAATTTTAAACATTATTTAGCTAGAATTAGAGAATGGAATAATTGTTCCTCAAGATTTTCGTTCACACATGTCTGTTTATTTCAAACTCTGCAAAGGGAGGATAGCCTAAATGTAAAGGGAATAATGCATTCCAACTTATGTTTGAATATCTCAAAAGAGAACGTGAATTTCCTTTTATTTCTTGTTTTCTTATTGAAAATCTCTCTTGGCCAGGAATGGTGCACAGAAGTTGTTGGGCATCTTGATAGCGGTCGGTGAGGCTGTTGCATACGTCCTTTCAGGAATGTATGGCAGTGTCAGCCAACTCGGTGTTGGAAATGCAATCCTTATCATCCTGCAGCTCTGTTTTGCCGGCATTATCGTGATATGCCTCGATGAGCTTCTCCAGAAGGGATATGGTCTGGGTTCTGGTATTTCACTCTTTATTGCAACCAATATATGGTAAGTGGTAATAGTTTAAGCACCCTTCATTTAATTTTTATCCATGAATGATGGTTTTTTAACCTGTTTAAGGTTTTTTCCATTTTAACAGTGAAACCATCATCTGGAAAGCCTTTAGCCCCACCACCATCAACAGCGGCCGTGGAGCTGAATTTGAAGGTGCCGTTATTGCTTTGTTTCATTTGTTGATCACTCGGACGGACAAGGTTCGTGCTTTGCGGGAGGCATTCTACCGGCAGAATCTACCCAATGTTACGAACCTGCTTGCCACAGTCTTGGTCTTTCTCATCGTCATTTACTTCCAAGGGTTCCGTGTGGTTTTGCCTGTGAGATCAAAGAATGCCAGGGGGCAACAGGGCTCATATCCAATCAAGTTGTTCTACACTTCCAACATGCCCATTATTTTGCAGTCTGCTCTTGTTTCCAATCTGTACTTTATTTCCCAGGTGAGCTGAACTACTACTATGGATATATGGATGAGTTGGGGGAGAATCCTATCGGGTTT